GGCCCGGCATACATTTAACTTTATAAGGAAGTACCAAACAGTTTTTCAAAGTGCTGCACGTTTTATCGCTTCCATCAGCAATATATGAGAATTCTAGTTGCTGCACGTTCTTGTCAACCTTTAGTGGGGTCAGTCTTTTTAATTTTAGCTATTTTGATGGGTTTATAGAGATATGCCTTTTTAGTTTTGATTTGTGTTTCCCTGCGGACTAAGGATGTTAAACAGCTTTTCAGCCGTTAAATAGCTTATTGGATATTTGTACATCTTCTTTGGTAGAATGGCTGTTCAAATATTTGGCAATTTGTTCCATCTTAAATCTCAACCCCTAGCATTTGGTAGCCACTCAGTACATAACTATTGAATGAATAAATAAATATGATATCATCTATTATTAGTGAATAATCTAATATGATTAGTAAATATTTGCCTAGTTTTTATAATGTTTTTAAAGTACTGAGCATAATGCCTGACACATAGCAGCCAACAATTAGTAGCTACTAGTAACATCCTTATTCTATATGTGAAGAAATGAGGATCAGAAAAGTTATGTGACTTTTCCAAGGTCACCTAGGTATTGTCAAAATTGCCACTCAATTCCGAGCTTCTCAAATTCTGTATTTCATGTTTTTACTTTAATAGTAGTAGGTTGACCAGTTAAATATTGAACTCACCATTAAATGTGTTATTTTATTCATTCTTTAAATTATTATTTATGGCAAATGTAATATGGCAAATATAATGGTGTTAATTATGTTACTTGTTTAAACCTCATTTAATTCTCACTATAACCATATAAGGAATGTAGTTATCTTTATTTTATTGATAATTAAACTGCAATACAAGGAAGTTATACCAGTGCCAAAGATCACACAGTTAATTAAGAGGTATAGACAGAATTCAAGCTCAGCCACTCCTATATCAAAGCTCATGTTTTATTTTGTTAGGTTTTGAAACGACTATACTCTACTGTCTCTTATGACAAGATTAATTTTGTTGAATCTGAGGTGCTTATGGGCCAACAGGATGGAGAATTCCAGTAAAGCTGTGACATTTAAGAGAGAGTTATTGGGGTTTAGGGGAGTGTATAAGATTGTGTCTTCAGTAAACTACAATTCAAGACCATACTAAGAAAGTTGTGTTAGGAGTGGTTAGAGTGCTGGATATATGTAAAGATGGAGAAATTCCACTAGTTTGATTTCAGAAAGTTCTATGGTAGACCCCTTTGAAAAAAAATTTTTTTTTATGGATCTGCCTTGTCCTCAAGAATAGATCTGTAATGATGAAACCTTATGGTATCTAAGTTTGTTCCTAAGACATGCCACAATATTTTGCCTGCTGTTACAGTCCCAGACAAGTGGATCCGTGTTGCCTGCCCACGGGCCCAGGAGCTCATGGTCATTCTGATAACCCCTTTTCTGTTTACTGGAAACCTCAGCAGCCCCGGCAAGGGCCCCTCCATCCAGGCTGACGAGTGCTCCCTTCCGCTCCGATTTCACCCTCCTGAAAAGGTAGTGTGAGGAGCAAGGAGTGAGTCAGTCCCTTCAAGTTGGCAGCACCCGGGGCTGGTGTTAATCTGCGTTATCTTAGCTCCCACAGGGTGAGTAATCAAGCCGAGCCAGAAGATCTAACCCTGGAAAACAGGTGCAAATTTCCAAAGGAGGCCTTTGTGACCGTAACAGGAGGTTGGCTGAAACTCAATCTGTATTTACTCTTTGCAACAGAATATTTTTTGGACCGTGGTCTGTAGGAACATTCAAGTTCCCTAAAAATTGGTCTCTGCACCAATTATAGAGGCATCACAGAAACACCAGCAATGGCCCAGCTGGGACCCTGGGGCCAGCCCAGCTTCTGAGGACTTGCACAACAGGGCTGAGCCTAAGCCTTCCTCCTGACACCCCAGAGAGGGAGTAGGTGGCAGGGAGTGACTAAGCCAGGCCCTGCCTCCTGGCTGCACACACAAACATGTTTTTGAGCCCTTTATAAACTCAGCAGGGAACATGCTGTTCTCTTTGGGAAGTTGCCAGAAACTTATGAGATAGTCAGATTAGTGCCAAGAATAGACACCAAGGCCTCTCTCACGCCTCAGAAAGGCACTGTGTGGTGCTAGGTTGCCACAGCCCCTCCTTTCTCCTCTAGCCTTCCAAACCAAGCCCGCAGACTGTTTCCTGAACTTCTCAACCCCTCAGTTAGTTTCTCAATGATTACTAGAGACCACTATACATTTTGGAACAACTGTAATCACACTGTCTAAAGCCCAATGCAAATGTGTCCCTTCTATGTTTATTTGTTTTGCATCTCAGAGCCTCAGGCCATGGACCTTGGGGGTAGCACCAAAAGAAAATAACCACCTATCTTTCCCATTTCAAAAGGTACAGGCAGAGTCTGAGTTGCTGCCCTTCCAAGTTTGCCCTCTGCACTAGTCGGCAAGGAATGGAAAGTTTAATTGAAATTCAGTCAGGGCTGGCAAAGTGGAGAGGAAATCTCAATCTTCTCTCAGAGGTACTAGTTGTCTCTCTTCTCTCTTCTCCAGATGTTCTAAATCCTCTGTGTCTCCACATTGGGCCAGCTCTAAAATCATATTTAAAACTGTTTCTTCCTCTATAATAGTACCTGTAAGAATCAAGTGTCAATTTTTACATAAACGTTTTAAGAGAGTTTTCCATATCTTCCTTACATTTGTATAAGGTATAGCTTCTTGTTTGAAAACTGTTTGCATAGTTCTTTTAGTTTCTAAGATTCAAACATTTTATTGCTTATGAAATTGACATTAACCAAGATTCATTCACATGGTGTCAACTACCTGAAATGTAGCCATTCACTCCATCCATCTCTCCATCCATCCATCCATCCATCCAATACTTTTTGAGTTCGAAGTCCCAACTAGTAACTAATCAGCCTTTATAGCACCGAAGTTGAGAACCTACAGTAATCAAGAGATGATAAATGTCACATAGATCCTTCTTGCTTACTAAGCAACTGAAAATAGAAAAGCTCAGGGGAACATGATCTGTGTAAATGTTAAGGATTCTGCCATGGAGAAATTTCACCAACCACATGCAACTGCAAAATATAGAAAGCCAAGCCCAGGCAAGATAAGCTCATTCTGGGCTTGGGACCTGCTAATTGGTTTCACACACATGTGGCTGCAACCCATCATAGGGCTGGATTCTAATATAGGGAAAGAAATGAGATATTTCACTGAAAGATATGTCATCTGAATCAGACTGAAGGAGCTGTTATGACACTGAGCTGTGGCTATAATCAGCGTCAGCCTGAGGATGACACTTCATTTAAGGAGATGTTTTTGGTCGAAAAGAACTGAGTTTGAATGCCATTTCAAATTTCCAAAGCATGACCTTCCTGGTCATGGGCTAGTCATTCCTATTATTTATGTATTCAATAAATATTTATTGAGCCCTGTTAGGGGCCAAACATGAAATGAGATAATGGAAATTTCCCTGCCTTCATGGAATAACAGGAATTATTCTTTGTGCTTCACTTTCTTAAGGTGTAATAATATCTATCGTGCAGAGCGGTGTGGAGTTCACATATACGGTAGGTGTGATAGGACTGTAAGTGGGACTTTTCTTCTTTTTAAATTAAACTTATTGGGGTGACAATGGTTAGTTAGATTACATAGGTCTCAAGTGCACAATTCTGTAATACATCATCTGCATAACACATTGCGTGTTCACCACCCAGAGTCAGTTCTTATCATCAGAATTGGCAACATGGTTCTAAAGTTGGGGATAAATCGATGGTTGGGATTTATTAAGACGCAAATTCATTCCTCTGCCCCAGTTATCACTCTCTACTCACTAATTTAATCTGAAAGGAATGATTGGATTTTAAATCTTCAGCCTCAGAAAGAGTTTGTGTCTTTTCCTTCCAGTCTTGGTGGGTGCTCCTAAGTTAAGCCAGTGGGAAGTTCCAAGAAAATGATTGTAAAGATGGAGGTGGGGGTGCCAGCAAGAAGTTGAGCCTGGAATGTTTTTCATTTCTCAGTTGGCTATCCACTTATGAGATGTACTTGCTGAACTGCCCTTTGTACTGATGTAAGCAAATGGGAAAGAGATTCAGGGAGAGAACTCAGGGTAGAGAAAATAAGCAGTAGGGGAATAAGGCATACTCCATTATCTGGTAGGAAAAAAATGCACCAGTCTTCTGTAGGTCAAGTGGATACCAAAGGAGGCTTGACTTATCGGGATAAAACCCCACCTTAAACTGTGACTCGGTAACAAAAGAGACCCTAGCAGCAAGTCTGTAGGGTGGGTTATATCCAGATGGGAGCCGAAGGAGACTGGAAAAGGTCCACCGAAGCTAATTTCCTATGAGAGATGGCCATGCAGTAAAGAGGCCTCCAAAAGGACCTTCCAGAGAATCATCAGGTGTCTCCCAAGAGGGCAGGCATTTGGATGGCTGTCATTGGGAAGGTCAGAGGTCACAACGGCAACTGGTAAGTAAAGGCATTTCTGCTTCCTTTGTGTATTCTGTCTCTATGTCCTCAACATAGAAAGAGACCCAGAAGATGCAGGGGGTAGCAGAAAGCCTCAATAGAAGCTCCATCTCTTTGCCCACATCTATGCCTCAGATCTGTCCCTGGGTCTAGAGAAGGAGAGGGACATTTAAAATTGATGATAAGCTGAAGTGGAGGGCACTGGAGTACATCTTGTACAACCTGAAAATATCAGAAAACTGGCATCTGTTGGAGATGCCATAGTCTTGGGAAGGAGAGATTTGATGGGGCATGTTTTAAAGCAGTGATTGGGGCGAAAAAAGAAAAGAAACCTGGAGTTTGAACCTTCTGGGTTCATAGTGTTCAATAAAATGCTGACAAGTGGAAAATGCTTAGCAAACACTAAGTGCTACACAAATGGAAGATACTATTCCTAGTCACCTAAAGAGAATAAATACTCACACATTATCTACATATATTTCAATATTGAAGAACAAAGAAGATGTTCAATTTGTATTTTTGGTTTAAGAGAAAGCATAATGTGTTGGTTATGTCTTCAAGTGTCTGTTTTCCTCATGCAAGGCTTCTCAGAATTTTTTCTGGGCTGTTTCACCACATTCCTATTGCTGTTCTAAGCATTTGCCTTCTTTGTCATTTTGTAGACACCGCACCACCACCACCACCACCACCACCAGTGACTGAGGAGATCGTGAAGGTCATCTATTCTCACATCCAATTTACTTGAAGATTAAATACTATTTAATTATTGGAACAATACTTTAAGTTCTTAAAAACAAAGAATCTCACGTAGGTGTGTAAATACAGCAATTTCTGCAGGCTCAGTACACAGAGGAGACCTAGAGTCCCAAGGTTGTGAATACTGGGCTTGACATAGAGGTGCCAGATGATTCCCAGCAATGCTGTATTTCATGTATTGTTCAACCTGCTTAGCATCCATTACTGTAAAATGGGGGTTTTGTCAAGGACCACACTGAGTAATTGAAGAATAAATGAGATGATTATGTAAAGCAGGTAGCACAGTGCTAGGCACCCAGTTGATGCTCAGGAAATAGCTGTTTTCCTCTTTCCAAGGATGCAGGGTCAAAAGACACCCCCAAGAAGAATAGAGGCATTCGGGAGGGGAGTATCAGAAAAATTAAACTGAACATTTTTTTGTGCATTCAGCCGACTATAGCTGGTGGTCATTTCTGCAGCATTACTAAGAAGAGCCATAGAAAATCATGACACTATTGGAGCAGAGTGACATGCTGGCGTTTTTGTATTTATTTTATAATATATTGCTATCCCGGTATTAATAACCCATAGTTTATTTAAAAACAGTGTTCAGAATTCAGAAAAAAAATGAAAAATTATTGAAACTAAATACTGGGTATGCTTTGCATATAAAATGTATAAACATATTACATACATGAATGACACTTAAATTTCAAAAACATAAATATTAAACATATATTATCATACTAATTTGAATTAACAGCAGGGGAAAAGTAATAAAAATAAGTATATACAATAAGCTAAATATTGCATTAAATGAAGAAAATCAGTCTTGAAAATTAAAAATGAATTAAATTATTTGATTTTTTTTTGCAAGTATGATCTTAAGAGCAATGTATATCAATGGTGTTACCTTTGATAATGAGCCGAGGGTTTGGGTAAATTTTTCCAGCCACTAGAAAAGCTTTTGCATATTTTATACTAGTTGGAAAAATAGTGATGAGCTAAATATAAACTAAGCCCAAATGTCTTTCACTGAATCTTTTATCTACAAATAATCTCATGTCTCAGTCATAATATAAAGGAAATCTTTTACAAGTTTTTATTTTATTAAAGACTTCCATATTTTTATTGGTAGTGAGCTGTCGCTTTTGTTACTAAGGCCCAGCAGTCAATTTGCAAGATGCCTGGTTCTCAGCTTCTGCTATGAAACAGCCTTTGTTCAAACACACACAAAAAATAAATCCCACAGATAAGAAGTTTCCACCACTAGACACTGGTTGTTTTGCTATCAACCTGACCCCATCAGAAGTGCAGATATCCGAAGGGTAAGACTAAGTCTTTGTTCTTTATAATTCTCTTTAAGGGATGCTTTCCTTCTTTACATATTCAGCGAATGCTGAAAAGAAAAAGAAGAAAAAAAAAACCTTCTTTTAACAAGTAAAGCTAGAGTGAATCTGATCTGGGAAAATCTGGGTTAGTATTCCAGCCTTTTTTACTCACTTAGCCCAGATACCTTGAGCTAATAAAACCTCGCTTTTACTGCTGGGTTTAACTCTCTAGGTACTTCTCAAAGCATAAAGGTTTTGGATTTTTAAAACGCTGTATGGGAGGGGAAATTACCCCTTCTTTTTCCTAATAGTTCTTTGGGCTGATCTAATAATCAAATTGACATGAGATAGGTTAACTGATTTATTACATATGTACGATGCATAGGAGAGTTTCATAAGACTATGGGGCTTAGGACTAATCGGGCAGTTGAGGCTTAAATGCCATCTTGAGCTAAGCAGGAAAGAGGTAGCAGTTTGAACTTCAAAGAGAAGGTAGGGAATATGCAGGTAGATAAGGAGTAAACACTTGGTGAACAATTTCTTGGTAAACAAATGATTGGTGCGCCAGCTAGAAACAATGGGACACAAAGGGGAGTTTAAAAAAAGAGTTGGTACGTTCCTCCCTGTCTGCCACACTTAGTTCATATGTAACTATAGTTATGTGGAAGAAAAAGGGGTTATAAGAAAAGTAACCTCCTCACAAGGTGATCCCCAAGCATATAACCATTTTAGGAAAAGGCTTATCTTTGCCTTAAGCAAGGCCTGTTCACTGTTTCTATGCATCTGGATTAACACACCTTTGAAATGCCTCTTTTCATACTCCTCCCTATAAAGCATGAGAACACATAATCTTAACTATCCTGTAATCCAACACCCACCTTATTTTCTTCCTCCTTCCTGTAATCTTCCTTACATTTCCTCCTTCATTTCAAATACACAAAAGAAACTGCAAAACTGTTATTCTCTGGAGCATTTGAGAGCTTGCTCCTCAACCTATATTATCAGTGTGGCTCAAATAAACTTATAGCAAAATCGCTACAGGTTTGGACATTTCCGACGTTGACATTATGGCAATAACTCCCCTTCCTGGGGCTGGTTCTCTATCTAAATTCTTTTAGACGGTTGGGGGAAGGTCAAAGGTTCTTCCTGAGCCTTTTCTTTCTTAAAAAATAACCAGTTTAAAATAATCAATATTAGAAACAAGCATATTTTGGGGTGGCAAACTGCTATTCTTCAAAACCAAGCAAAATATTGTAGCTTTGCCACTTAACAATCAATGGCATGCTATACCGGAGTTCTTCAATGTTGAAAATTGACTCTGAATCACTAATTCAAGTCATCTCGCTCAGAAAGATTTCCTCCATGAAGCTACTACAGTGTCTAAAATTCCATTTTTAGAGTAAGTCTACATTGATTTAAGGCAACTATTTATAGGATATCCTTAAATATATGAATATACCCAAGGTGTTCTCTCTTTAGTCGTTAATGACTCGGCATAGTTGTTTATCAGCTGAGTAGTCAGTGGGACCCAGACCAAGTCCATTGTTTTGTGAAGCAGAACAGTGGAAAGAACTTCATGCAAGGAGAAGCATGGTTATGGGGTAGGACCCAGGGAGGCAGGTGCTGCAGGTTGGCCCTGGGAAGCCTGGGGCTGCCTCGTGAAGGCAAAATGGGCTTGGAGGAAATGCTGATGGAGGGAGGCAACTGTTAAAAAAAAAAATGGAACCTTGTACATTTGGAGATAATTGACTTGATTAAGTGATTCATGAATGAAGCAGGATCCCATCTAACAAGTAGAGAGATACTCCAAGGGGTTGTACAAAAGGAAAGGTTTTTATAGGAAGAATAGTGGAGAGCTGTTAACAAATGAAAAGAAAGGATTCTTTTAGGCCAGGTCATCTTATTCTGGGAGAAGGGGATCGTAGGAGTCTTTATCATGCAGCTTGCCTCTTCTTCCTCTGGGGGGATGTGGAGGGCCCAGGACATATTACTTCATCGGTGCTGACCAGAAAATTCTAGACTGCTTGATTAAAATCGTTCTTCTGGGAAAAGCTGAAACTGCAATTACATTAAATATGAAATCTAGGTTTGGTGTCATGGGCTTTAGCATGAGTGATGCCATTTTGGACCTGTGGTTTTCTCTGTAATGCAGGAAAGGGCCAGAGCGGGGATGGGCATCTCATGTCCACCACCACACCCACATTGGACCCTTTTGTATTGCAGAGCCCTTGTATTGAGTGCAACTGAGAAAAGGTATCTTTAAAAAGAGACAGCTTGAGGAAGGGAGAAAAAAATCATACATAGTATGTGCAAAATAAGTGAAGAAAAGCACAAATTAGTAGAATCACAGAAAATGTTCAGAAGTAAATAAATAAAAAGTTGGAAAAGAAGTAATGAAATGATTAGTGAAGTGTGGGTTTCTATGGAGGCAGGCATTTTGAACCAGATTTTGAGAAGTTGGATGTGAGTTGGTAAAAAGGAAATGTCTTTGGCTTCTCTTTTTGAAAGTCAGTATCAACTCCCAGTGCCTAGTTTTCTGGCAAAAAGAAGAAAATGGGCTAAATTCTGGGGATTTCTCTCTATGGCAGTATATGAGTTTTCATAAAACTTACTAGAGAGTCCAATGTTTTCCTTGTTGTTGGCTGTTTCCTACAAATTAGGTTTAATTGCAATATCTTCCTAGAAGCATAGTTTTGATAAATATAGTGATTTCCTTTGGGGGATGAGAAAGAAAGCAATAGCTTTAACAAGGTTTTCTTTTAAAGCAATAGCCTCTTTTTCAAGGCAAACAAAATCGTATGTTGAATTAAGACCAATTTCCTCATATTGTATTTTAAATAAAGGATAAAAAAGTCACATCTAGGTCCTATGAAGAAAATAGGAACAATACAAATGAAGTATTGAATTAGCAGTCATAGTATTTTAGATAAAATTTGGCACAGACTTTTAAAACTGGTGGGCTTCAACAGTCCATAGATTTCCACCAAATGGTTGCAATCCACCCAATGCTTTTTTAAAAATCAATTTGTTGCCAACAATTTTCTGTTCCTATTCCACCTTACACTTTCCCACACTTGGATTTGCTCCACCTCAGAGGCACTGAAAGTCTCTTGGTGCCAAAGTCGCATTATGGTGAGGTTGTGGTCAACGATAGTGGATGTAATGGGCTGCATTTTGTCCTCCCAAAAGACCAGTACCTGTGAATGTCACCTTGTTTAGCAATATGGTCTTTGCAGATGATCAAGTTAAGATGAGGTCATTAGGGTAAGTCCTAGTCCTATATGACTGTGTCCATATAAAAAGGGGAACTATGAACACACAGAGAGGGGGAGATAACATGAAGACACAGGGAGAACGCCGTCTACCAGCCAAGGAACTCCCATGTCTACCAGAAGCTAGGAGAGAGGCATGGAGTAAATAGATTCTCTCTCACATCCCTCAGAGAGAATCAATTTTTTCAACACCTTAATTTCAGACTCCTAGCCTTCATAACTGTGAGGCAATACATTTCTGTTGCTTAAGCCACCCAGTTTGTGGTACATTCTTTCTTACTGCAGCCCCTGGAAACTCATACAGTAGGGGAGGGTCTTCACAGTTATCCTCTGACAGAGGGTTTCCAGAGCAGTGCACATGGAACCCAGTGCTTAAAAGTGGAAGTCAAAGCACTTGTAATATGTTTTAATATTAATCTTTAAAAACCAGATTCAGTGGGAATGGAGCTAGAGAACAAATGGGAGTGACAGAAAACATCCTATACTCAAAATTTCAGATTGTGTCTTACCCTTCCTGAGGGTCCTTTTCATTATCTCTGGCTTCATCTTACATAATGTGTCCTTCTGATGTCCATCTTATCAGAGTGCCAGTCATGCCCTGGCAAATTTAAGTTTTCTTAAATGTAAGGGTCAAAAGGATTTTATTTTAAATATTAAAATAGGTACCTAATTCAACCCTAATTGCCCTAGACCTCTGTCTGCCACCTCCACATATAGCAGGTTTGAGTCTCACCTAAATTCAAATTGGACTTCTACAACCTTAGCAAAACTCTTCTGGAAAGATCTATCAGATTCCTTAATAATCTACTTCAGTGTATCATGTGAAACAAAAAGTTTCACAGTCAAGGCTTTTCCAAAAGAAAGAGCTAATATATTGAGCCAAATGCCAGCCAGAAAAGGACCAGGTTCTGGGGCAGGACGTCTAAACCACCAGCAGCAGCACCAGGTGGAGGTCACACGTTCTGAAGTTGACAGACTTATTTACACACCAGGTAGGGTGAATAAAGATAAAAGTTGTTTTGAAAGAATTTATATTGGCAGTAGATGAAGGGGTGGGAGAAGGTGAAGCGAGGCTAGTTCTGGGATAGGTGCACAGTCCGTAAGGGAGAAATGTTTGCTCCTTGGGATTGATTGTGGACCACAGGCTGGGAAGTTCATGCATAAGCAAGAAGCAGAGGCGCCTGATGTTCGGTGGTGTCTGGCTATTCTCTTTGGATAATCGCAAAAATAGCCACCTGGAAGTTAATTTAAAGTTCCAACATACTTTCAGGAATGTAACCAGTTTTCTGTTGGGTTTTCCCTGCAATTGTTAACTTAGTAACAATTCTTGTCTCCCTCTTGTCTTAGTAACTCTCTTGTCTCTTTCTGTTACCCTCTGGCCTGCTGTCATTTAATTTAGGAGGCTTCAGTATTTTCTCCTTGTCAATCACATACTGTGAGAAAATTCTTTTTGGGTTCCCCTTGAAACCATAGTTCAAAACAAATGTGTTTGTTCTTGCATTAACTTTAGTAGAGATAAAAACTATGT